CTCCTGAGGGGAGCCGCCAAATGCATCCTCGCCCCCGCCAAGAACTGCAGCCGCCCCTCCGGAGGTCCTCATCCTGACAGGACTTCGCGGCTCGGTTCCCCCACCCGTCGGCCGACCCAGCGGGAAAGGCCTCCTGCCAAGGTCGCCAGCTGCAGACGAAGCCGCCCAACTTCTACCAATGGCTTGGTCTTCCGGACACTGAGAGGCGAGGAAGCAGTGGGTCCCCACGACACCTGAACACCCCCTCGCCCTCTTCTTGGCATAGTTTATCGCGGTGTTCCTCAACCTTGGCCACTGTAAGGGAAGTGGACTTCAACTCCCAGAATTCCCCAGCCAGCCTTCTGGGAGCTGGGGGGCCATACATGCTTGCTGGGGAATTCTGGGAGTTGAAGTCCCCCCTCTTACAGTGGCCAAGGTTGAGGAACCCTAGTCTAACATGCTGTGTGAATCCACTTGACTTGCTCAGATCTTTCTTCCCTGGCATCTGCCCAAGACCTATTTATATGGCCCCAAACTCCAAGGATCCTCAAACGCTGTGCCCTCCATTTTGGGCTCCGATCTCAAATATAGTATTTCATCAGCTAAGGAAGCACCCGAAACTTATCAAAAATCACATGGGTGAGAATCTTCCTGTATTTACCTAAGAGGGAGATGAGCCTCAATTTTGGACCCACAAGGCATCTGGAGCAATATTTGGGGTGAGTCCCCCCTTCACTTTTTAAGTCGGAACAGAACTACCCAGCTATTCCCACCTGAGTCCCATTCATAAAAACATCTCCGCAGGTCGTGGGTTCCACAAGGAGATCTCAAATCGGGCAGTCAAAAAACCACCCAGAAAAAAGGCACTTCTACATCGTTGCCAAGATTATACAATTATATCCAAGAAGTCAACAGTTGGTCAAAGCCAACTGTGCCATTTTACTGAGAACAAGAAAAGACTCAGACATGCTAAAACACCCTGAGCAGGACCAGAGGTTGATGGAGAACATCTGGCTCCAGAGATGTTGCATTGAGAAACCAATACTGGGCTTAGTTGTCTACAAAAGATCGTTTGAGTTGTGCAACAATTCTACAGAGGTAGATACTCCAAAAGCCCGCTGTGTTAAATGAGAACTCCAGGCTTAAGTTTTCTCGGAGGAAACCGGAAATTGTGGTTTAGCCTTGATGGAGGTGGAAGATTTAAGGGAGGCAAAAAAAGAGTCCTATTCACCCAACCCACACCACAAACCTATGGAACTCACTGCCACAAGATGTGGCAACAGCCAACACTCTAGAGCAGTGTTGTCCAAACTTGGCCACTTTGAGTGGACTTCAACTCCCAGAACTCC